GGGGGAGAAGATTGAAAAACAAGCTAATCATGTAGATTTGACCAAAGTCAGCTGGTTTGATCCGGTCCCTGAGGATTTATCCAGAACTTACATCTGGCTCCACTTCAGCTTCAGCCGCCATGATTTCAACACTGACCTTTGACCTCTGTTGTAACCTGGAAAAATGTAAAAAAAAAAAAAATGGAGTTAAAGAAAAATAAAAATGATTTCCTGGGTCAGGGTGGAGACACAGACTCGATCTGGTACCGATGTCTGGTACCGATGTCTGGTACCGATGTCCGGTACCGAGTTTAAAAAAGAAATGTTTTTCTTAACTGAGAAATTCCATCTGGTTCATTTGAAATGAAACATTTTTGACGCAGCAGCACACAACACAACATTTGTCCAAGGCTGGGATTCAAACCAGCAACCCTCCAACCACAGGACCAGGCCCTCTGACCTCTGACCTCCTGTTGCCATAGAAACAGAGTAGAAACAGTTTTGAGTGTGTGTGTGGTGAACGGAGCAGACTGGATGGACTTTAACTGTGTTCCTCCCCCCTGTCCCCCCGCCCCCCAGGATGTCTCTGAACCTGCCCCCGGAGCTGGGCCTTGTGGCGGTGGCCGGTCGTCAGAGTCAGGGCCGAGGTTGGTGTGGACGACACTGGAACTTCTCTGTTGTCAAATCAAAAACTGTGGCGATTCACTGCTGGGTTTGTTTGTTTTTTTTTGTTTTTTGTTTTTTCAGGTCGGGGTAAGAACGCCTGGCTCAGTCCAGCAGGGTGCGCCATGTTCACCCTGAAGGTCCAGGTGGAGCTGGGCTCCAGGCTCGGACAGAGGATCTCCTTCCTGCAGCACCTGGCGGCTCTGGCCGTGGTGGAGTCGGTCCGTACGCTGCCTGGCTACCAGGTACAAGAACCAGTGTTTTCACTGGCACCAACACCATTTTACTGAACCAGCACCATTTACTGCAGCGCCCCCTGTGGCCCCTGAGCAGAGAGCAGATTTATTTTGGGTTTTTTTTTCTCCGTCTTTTCTCAGGACTTAGACCTGAGGGTGAAGTGGCCCAACGACATTTACTACGGTCACCTGATGAAGCTGGGTCACCTCCCCCTTCATGGGATCGCCGTTTCATCTGCTCGTCGGTAGAACGACAACCCCCGTCTCTCTCTCTCTCTCTCTCTCTCACACACACTAACCTGTAACCAGTCATGTGACTCAGACATGTTCTTTGACCCTTTGACCTCTCCACAGGTTGTGGGTTCAACGTCACCAACAGTAACCCGACCATCTGCATCAACGACCTGGTCCGTCAGTTCAACGTCCAGAACCGCAGCAGTCTGCAGCCCCTCAGCTGCCCCCAGCTCATCGCCCGGACCCTCACCTGCCTGGACTCCCTCGTCAGCAGCTTTCAGAGGGGGGGCGCCGACGCTGTCCTGCCCACGTACTACAAGAGGTGGCTCCACGGGTGAGTGACCTCTGCTGGGAGGTTAAAGGGACGGTCCGTGAAATGTCTTTGGTCCCAGAACAGTCATGATTAGAGCGCCCCCTCTGTCCCCCCCGCCCCCTCTGTCCCCCCCC